ATAACCCTGTACAGGGACTCTAAGGGGTTACGGATTGCAAGGCCCGTATACTACACGGGAGTCTGGGGATACCGTCACGGTTGGCATCGCCATCGCTGTCGACGGTGGCTCGTCGTAGCAACTACTGGTCGTAGAAGCTGCTGTTCGGTTGCAATCGGAACCCTAAGCGGTCAACCGACGTACTGAAGGAGTTTAACTTAGCCCCAACGAAACTGCATGATGTGGCATGCATTAGATAGCCAACGCTCATCAGCAATAATTAATCTTGTAGTAGAGTAGATAAACGTATCCTTGCTGTTGCCACCGGTATCTGGGCAAGTTTGCAACTAGGTGGGCATGCCTTTTTCTATAGTCTCTTCACAGCAAGCTTCAGAGACTCGTCGTTTAAGGTCTGGGTGCTGCTTGAGCGGATTGTGGGTTCAGGGTTTAGGGTTTAGGGTTTAGGGCAGCATGTATCCCTGCAGAACCGTAAACCCTAAACCATAAACACAGCGAGTCCCAAGCCAAAACATTCACTCCGACCAGGCGTCGGCGGATTCGATCGAAGAAGCGACGGCTCGATTCAACGAATGGTTTTCGCGCATGATGCAGGCCGCTGACACGATTGAAACTTAGAGGGAGGAAGTCCCGAAACTGATAAACTCGAAGGCAAACAAGCTAAACCCGATACTATCCTATACTTCAAAGAATAAGAGAATCCATGTAATTAACCCTAAGCCTGAAAATTCTCAATCCCTCATCCCAAAGCTCAGAAGCGCCCGAGTTGATGGTTGATGGTTTACACCCTTGCCTGTCCCCCAAATGGTAAGGGATTGGATGCGAATCTCCCTATCATCAGAAGAGGGTTGGGTCTTCTTTGTAGGAGGATGACGCGCAAGAGATGAATCAGGGTTTGCAGCATGCACTGACGTACTGAAATGTAATGCGATGTACGTCAATGGAATAATGTAATGCAATGTAATGTAGTGTATTGCAGCATAATTTATAATGTAAGGTAATGTCATGTAGCGTAACACACACACACACACGTAAAGCGCCTATACTCATATGAATGTATGAGTGTATGTAATGCGCATACTTTCCTTTGAAACATACATACTGTGCATTTTGTATCCATTTGCGAATTAATGCCCCCGCTTACGATACCACGATACCGACCTGGGTTTGGGCAGAACGACGCGGAGATCCGGTCACTGGCCACCATGGATCGCGAAAGCATGCCGTACCTCGTCCTTTTCAGTGGTTCGCCAGTTCGTTCTAGTGTTTCTCTTGAGTCGATCAGCCTAATCGTTGCGACCGTCTTCGAGTGCTTCGTTGTTGTTGATGATGATTGTTTGATGATGATGACGATGATGATTGCTCGACATGGTTGTGGTTGTTGCCTCGGCTTTCGTTACTTGCAACAGTCCAGGCATGGGGTTTGGGATGCATCTGAGGTTCGGGTTTAGGAGGTCCTTGATGTCCTTGCCGCAAGTATCCTGTAACCTAAATCCTATAAGCCCCAGGTTCTAAGGTCCTAAACCCCAACCCAAACCCAATAATTAAGACTGTGGCCAGCTTTTTGTACATGTGGGTTCTGAGATAGCGATGGCGGGTCTTCAGCCTTAAAATCCATGTGGGGCCCTGGTGCATGACCCTCCCCTTCGGTAAGGGCTTCAACATTCGGACAACAGGTATAATCCTTATTTGGGGGGAGGGTGTTTAGGGTTTTAAGGTTTTGGGATTCGGGTTCAAGGCGATGCCGGTATATTCATCAGGAGTCTGCGATAGTGCTGCAGCCTGGCTGCTTGATTTTGCCGGGGTTGTTCAGTCCAAGACTCCTTTCTGTCATCCCTAAGCCCTAAACCCTAAACCCTAAAAGGGCCGAAAATGCCCCAGACTGGCAGCCGGAACCCCACACCCTAGACACAAAACCCTTAATCTAACCCTTGCCCCGAAACCATTAACCTAAACCTAGCATTTACACTTCCTCTAAGGCGCTTAGCTCAAAAATTGAATTCCGAAGTTTTGAACATACCAAACCCCGACCATTTGGACCTGGAGCTGCCTATCAACCGTAGAGGCCATACTTAACCCAGAGTCTTAGGACCCTGAACCCTTTGCACGGTTTAGTTTAGACTGTAGGGTTCGGCTTGGGGGTTTAGGGTTTAGGGTTCGGGTTTGGGTTTGGGCGGTTTGTTGAAAGGGTTCTATCATCTGGTCATGTAGTATATTCGTCGGACTCTTACTGCGCATTGCCTTACATGTTCTATGGCTATGCCTGTTTTTTTTTGTGAGGGGGGGACCTCAGCAGCCTTAGCAAGCAGTGTATCGATAGGATTACTGTTTCCTGAACCGTTTCGTCGAAACCTCAAGGGGAAACACAAAGTACAGCCCTAAGTCAACTATTGCAAAGAAGAAGCCAGAGAGCAAATATAGAACCCTGGCTAATATGGGTTCCTCATGGTACCATCACTGTGATATACCTGGAAGCACAATTGTCTTATACTATTTGGGTACATGGACCCTTAGGGTAAACTCTAAACCGTTTTCGCCGCAGGATCCAGAAAGGAGATGGCGCGGGCGTGTGGTTCGACCCCATCAAGACAGTGCCCTCTTTGGCAGTTGCAAGGATTCGGCTTACTTGGTTCATGGGTAGTTGTACGTAGGGTTATAAGTCCCCTAATATGGGTTCTAACTATAGTTAGCTTACTTATATAACCCCACTTATAACTACCCATGAACCTCCGAGTTAGGTGCGGCAAGCTGGGCGTACACCCTGCACCTACAAGTACAACGTCATAGCATTCCATTCTATTTCGTATGTTTGGGGCTAGAGATAAGCAACCAACTAATCCAGAAACACTTGTGGGTTTGTGGGTTTAGGGTGCTCGGACATTAGGTTTTTGTTTGGTTGGGTTTGGGGTTCATCGTGCGCTTAAGGGCTTGTGGATCTGTTTGTTTTGTTGCTGGGCTTTGGGTTTCAGGGTCTTGTGGAGTTGGCGTTCAGGGACATGGATCACCAAGCTTTCCGAAGCTTTCCCCAAGGCTTGTACCCAATCTTAGGGTTTAGGGTTTAGGGTTTAGGGTAGCGGTATAAACAAACGCTGTCAGAACCTTACCCAAGGTATCTTGACCACCTAGTGCAGGATGTGGCCTTTATGACAGGGACATACTGCGGCGTCTGTAGGTATACACTCTAGGTACACAGATACATGGCTGCATATATATATATATATATCCCAAACCAGGGCCCAACTCGCCCCAACAGCGGGGAACGTTGTAGACCCCAGTGCCGACAGTGCACGACCTCCCGGCACCGCAATTCCGGCATCCCCCACGTGGCACCGAAGACAGCGGTTGCAGCGAGCGAACTCACGGGCGAGGATCCACAAGGCCCGTCTTCGTGGAGAACAACCTGCCCGAAAAGATCTTCGTCGGCTTACCAACCACCACTCGAAGCCGAAGTACCGTGAGGCCAGACACATGGGCCGTGGACGACAATCATGGCAACAATGGCCCAAGGCTGCAGACTATGGCAGCTCGCAATGGTCACAGGATGGATGGCCAAAGGGCAAGGGCAAGGAATGGAACCATGGTGGAGGCCGACGACAGAACGAGGCCTCGAGCTCCAGGAGACAAGCAGCTTTCCCGTCCTTCGAGATGATGCCGGTGGAAGCTGCAAGCAATGGCCAGTGGACATGGCAGGAAACGGAGTACACCGAGCCGCAGAAGGAGCCTACATACGTCAGCGGAGTTCAGCGGCTGCTGAACAACGTCCGCAAGACCGAAGGCCGTGCCAGACGCCTCGAGGCCGACCAGAAAGCAACAGAGGCCAAATGGGAGAACTTCCGACAGGAGCTCAAGACAACTTTTGTCAAGGAGCGGGCTCGGTTCACGGAAAAGATGGACAAGCTTCGCGTCGACATGGAGGAGGCGGCGCAGGCCAAGGACGACGCCCTGCTCGAGCTCAGGGAGATCATGGCAAACCCCAAGGCGGCCAAAAAGCCCAAGGCGGTCATGGAAGAGGATGCGGCAGCGCTCGAGGAGTTGGCGGACCTACTGCGTCAACCACAGGCCGGGACCGGCGACCTCGCGACGATACTGGCTGGAGCGGTCGGGGATGGAAGCCTCTCCGAAGCAGACCGGCGCAAGAAGATCCTACAGGCGATCGAGACGCACCGCACCGGGGATGCACCGCACACCCCCCGGCGCCGAAAACCGCAGTTCATGGCGATGACCCCGCCGGGAGACAAAAACAAGGAGCCCGACCAGGTGATGGACGTGGACCAGGAGGAGACCTACAAGGGCAACGATGCGACGGTGAAGGCGGACCCCTACCAGATGTCGCCAACGGCAACCACAATTGCCCCGTCCCCCAGTGGCCTGGATGCCAAGACAAGGCCACGGAGCCAAGGGAGAATGCCCATCAAGTTTGTGGGCCGTGCTCCGCGAAAGGAGCAGCGCACTGGTGCACCTCTTGGGGACAAACTGGAGGCGCGCAGGGCAGAGATCGAGAGGCAGGAGCAGGCGGAGCAGACGGTCTACGACTCCGAGGAGGATGCGCTCCTGGACGAGTTGGGGAACTCGTCCAAAGGCCCGAAGGTTCCGGACATCGACTAACCGGGCGTGCCTCACTGCAGTGCAGTAGCCTGCAGACCAGGCATGGGGATATGCCTGGTCATAATCTTTATGAACCTGAAGGGAATGGCTCTTCGGAGAAAGGCCTTCAGTCAGAGTGCATGGTCAGCGGCTTTTTCGGTGCGTCCGCTGACCCCTCCAATGCTGATCCCATGCACAGATCGGGATCCATCAATCTATCTCATTATGCCAGCTGCCCAGGGCTTTTTCGGCGTGTCCCTGGAAAGACTTTGGCAGGAACAAGCCCCTCAAGCTCTACATCATGCTGGCACGGCCCCCCGGGAGGCCACGACCGAGCACAGATGTTTGGATGGAGGGTATATGATGTTATTGACATCCAGCTGGCTGTCCTGGCATGGTTGGCTCCACTACTTTGGTGCATGGTGGAGCAAATGGCAGGCTGTGCGCAACGGTTCCTTTTGACGATCCTGTTGGTGCTATTGACTGCAGAGATGGCCTTGCTGTCCACATTTGCAAGGCGTCGCAAAGTGAGACAACCTGCTGTTTGGATGCGCATTGTGCTCTTTGCCACCCTCCTGCAGGTGAACCAGGCTGTACAAACCAGCGGCCCAAGCAAAAGAGCAGGCGGACCCCCAGACCGCTGTCCTAGGCCCACGGACTTGCAGTTATGGATGGATGGCCAGACTACCCTGCGGGAACAGCTTGCGCAGGCCATTGAAAGAAATGTTTTGGAAAGGCCGCTCCTTAGTGGAGGTCACACAGACCCTGGAGGACCGCGGCGACACCCAGAACCCCACGAGCCTGAACTGCCAGCAGAAGTCGAGAACGATGACATGCATTGGATCAATGAGCAGGAGGAGCGGGCAGTACACGTCTCCTTCTGGATAGGATCCCCGATGTACGAGCCGGTCTCCCTGGACGTGGCCATGGCATTTCCATTGGAGGTCCAGCACATCTATGAGGTGATACAAGAATCTCTGTTGGACCTTCCAACTGAGATACTGCGGTTTACGACCGCCGTCACCCCGCAGATCAATGAGGCGTTCGGCAGTGTCCTTGTATTGCCTGACTGGCTGCCCATGTCGGGCCAGTATGCCACCGTCCTCGACGCCAGATCCATAGACAAAGGACTCTCTTGTGTCTACCTTGAAGGCCCGGTCACACAAAGGCTGATCATGTACCAGCTGGGCCTGGAGACTATAGATGGGACAGCTATCTATGCTTATGGTGCCCTACAGCCTTTGGGGCCCGAAGAGCAGCTGCCACCGCGACAAGCTGGACTCATCCAGGTGCTGGCTGCCGGAGCGGTTGTTGAATGGGCCTCTGAACTCGAGGAGCGGCTCCTTGAGCCAGACAGATGGCGGCCGTCAGAAGAGCACCCACAGCATAAGCCCGGCCGCTACGTCGACTTCCAGACCTTTGACAAACACCACCTGCACCCGCTTGGCAGGCAAGCACCATTGCCTGCCCAGCAGATCGCGGCGGAGGCGTTCGACCTCGAGCCAGAAAGTCTTTGGACATGCCCCCCGGCGGAAAAGCCCCGCCGCCTGTATGACCAAGGACGGCGAATACATTCGATTATTGCCGTTGTCGATAAGAACGAATTCCCGTCGGAGGACTTCCAAGTCGTGTTCCTCGACCTACGGCCAGTCGGACTGGCGATGCAATGGACTACAGTGCAGCAGCGGAAGTTTGAGCCAGGGGACTACTTGGAGAGCCTCTTCCTCCCCTATGTAGAGGGTTACTCCCTCGTGGTTCACGGGGGGAGAAGGAGGGGCCACAGTGCAACCCTCTCCATTTACAATGGAGAAACCCTCGAAGTGGTGCTGCGACACACTGCAGACCTGACACCCAGCCCAGAGCCTTCCGAGCATGGGGATGCAGATACGGATGATGACAGCTCGGGAGACGAAGATCACTCCGGACCGGGGATCCCTGATTCCAGTGATTTTAGCTCTGGTTCACCACCGAGAGGCCCCGGGCCGTATGGCCCACCCCCGCCGCAACCTGTCCGGCGAGAAAGGAGCCGGAGCCCCAGACAGCACAATGGTCGAACGGAACAAGACCATATGCTTGCGGCAACAAGTGCCAGGAAAGAGGGCCAGGCGCAGCTGGAGCTGTTCAAGCTCACACAACCGAGTGGTCAAAATGAAACGCTGATGGCGGGCCCACGGCTGCCGGTCTACACCCCATCCGTTGACCTGACTGTCGACCGCCTACAGCTACCGCATGGAGATGGCACCCTTGACGCGTTGTTCAACACATGGTCGATTGAGTGGATGCAGTATGATATCAGCTGCTTACCACTTAAGGAAGCCACCAAGAAGGGACTGGACAAAGCAGTCCACTGGAGCCAAATCCTGCGATGCCCTCAAAACCAGGAGGGAGTGGAAGTCCAACTCTACGCCGACGGCTCCTACCACCCGGGGAGAAAACGCAGCGGCTATGGAGTTGTCATCGTGCTCAGGTATGCCCACTTGGTAGCACTATTTGGGATCATCGGCGGCCAGATCCTTGGTGACCCCCAGAACCCCTGGCCGTGGGACAATGCACCCGCGCTACAAGCGGAATTTGTTGCGCTTGCGGTTGCCCTGCTATGGTTGGGGCAGAGCGTTGGCTTCCTCAATGTGCAATCGGCCGCAATCTACTTCGATTGTCAAGCGGCGGGGTACGCCACGGATGGAACCTGGCGAGCCCCGAATCCACTCGCGCAACAAATCCATGGCCTGGAGCTGCTAGTCCAGCAGCGGGTATGCCACAATTTGCGCATGGGGTATGTCAAGGCCCATCAAGGTGATGAGTGGAACGAGTTTGCGGATGTGGTGGCGAAACAAGGAGCAATGGATCCACATGGACTTCCTGCGCTACCAGCCGATGTCCGGGATGCATTTCTTGCAGCGGATCTTACTTGGGCGGCAACAGAGCACTACGCCCAGGCATACCACTCATGGCCTGGAGAAGACCCCGGTGCCATTATCATCCCGGAGGAGAAGGATCGGCGGCCCTCGCCCCTCCAGGGCACAGACCTGCTGCCCCTGACCAACGGCGCCATCCGGCAGGATGCAGATGACTTCGCAACGCATGCCCTGTCCGTCAACATCCAGGGCCTACGTGGAAAATACAAATACCTGGAGGAGCAACTTCATTGGCGGCGTTGCCAAGTGGCATTCATCCAGGAAACCAAGGATGAGGGTGGCACTTGCCACAGCAAGCAGTATTTACGCGTTGCAACCCCAGCGGAAAGACACTGGGGCGTCGCAATCTGGCTCCACAAGGAATATGGGGCTTTCACCACCAGCGGTGCCCCACTACGAGTCGATGAGGTGGACCTATGCATCGAGGTGCAGAACAAGCAGCTGTTGGTGGTTCAGATATGCCGCGGGACACAGCGAATAATACTGTTTTCTGGTCACTGCCCCCATGCGGGACGGCAACAGGAGAGGCTAGAAGTTCTGGCCCTCTTGTCTCAGTGCCTGCAAAAGCACCGCGACTCGGCTATTATCATTGGGGGTCTGGATGTCAATGGCCGCCTCCCTTGTGGCGTTCCGAATGTCACGGGGCTCTTGGAATATGGAGATGTGGACGAAGCTGGACGACAGGCCATGAAGGTGTTGGTGGAATGCGGGCTTTGGGCCCCTTCGACCTATGTGGAGCTCCACGAGGGTCCGTCTGCTACCTATCAACACCACAGTGGACAGCTGCACCGCATCGACCACATTGTCCTGGGGGGCAAAGCGGCCATACATCAGCTACGCAGCAGCGTTGCTGAAGACCTGGACACGGCTACGAAGGGCTGGGACCACTGGGCAGTCGAGGTGAAGCTTGGTGGCTCCATTGGCCCTGGTGCAGCGAGCCAACGCCTCCGCAGACCGAGGTATGACAGACACAAAATGGCCACGCCCGAAGGCAAGCAGCTGGTACGGCAGGCCCTCCGGAAATATCAGCCCCTGCCATGGCATGAACATGTGGACGAGCACTACCGCCACTTCCAGCAGTTTGTCAATGACATCCTGGAGGAGCACTTCCAAGTGGACCTGACAGGGCCCCGGGCATCCTACATCCCGCCGGAGGTGTGGGACCTTAGAGCCAGCAAGCTGAAGCTCAAGAAGGTGGCGAAGCACCGGAGATACTACTGGCGTGAATGCCTCCGGGAGGCCTTCCTACAATGGGCGGACCGCAACGATGCGGAACATGCGAGGAAAACTCGGAAGGAAGGCATTCTCTATGAACTGGTGGCGACAGCAATTGGTATGGCGACAAACACCATACGCGTGCTGATTGCCAAGGGCAAGAGTGCCATGCTCCAAAGCATTGCTGAACAGGGCCAGGCAACAACTTGCCAGATCCTACGAAGGGCGAAAGCCTTTGGAATTGGCGGCCGACAGTACAGGAAACCTACGCGGGAACTACCACTACTGTTGGACGAGAACGGACAGCCTGCCCATGGCAGAGCAGCACGGGATGGTATATGGTTGCGCCACTTCAGCTCGCAGGAGTATGGGACCCTGGTGTCCGTGGAGGAGCTATTGAGGCAAGCACCTGTCACAGAGCAACTCGCAGCCACTGTGGAATGGCGACTTCAAGACCTTCCCACAATCTTCGAAATCGAAGAAGGCATCCGGCGGATCCCGAAAGCCAAGGCTATGGGACTCGATATGGTCCCGGGAGAGCTCCTACAGGCCTGCCCGAGCCAGTTCGCACTCACTTTGCATCCCCTCTTCCTCAAGGCGGCTACAGGTCTGCAACAGCCACTGCAATGGAGGGGGGGAGTGCTTTACGAATGCTGGAAACAAAAGGGATCCTGGAAGGAGATACAGAACCACCGGTCCTTGTATATCTCCAGTGTGGTTGGTAAACTCTATCACCGACTCTACCGGGACAAGACCCAGCCACAGCTTCAGCAAATGCTGCACGGCCTTCACCTGGGCAGCAAGCGCAATGCCCCGATGGCCTATGCGGCGCTGTACATGATGAGTCACTTCAGAAGATGCAGACAACAGCGACGATCAGCTGGAGCCCTGTTCCTCGATACCACGGCTGCATATTATTCTGTATTGCGTGAAGTGGCAATGGGAGAGCTCACCTTTGACACCACGATAGTACGGCTCTTTCAGCAGTTTGATTTGCAGCCGGCGGATATGGAGGAACTCTGGAGCTTCATCAAGTCGGGAGGCATCATGTGCCTTGAGGGCATTCCTTCTGGAACGCTCGGAGTTATCCGCGACATACATTGCCGCTCATGGTTTTCCACGCGACACACCGATGGTTCCCGCATCGCCACCTCCATGGCTGGTAGTAGGCCTGGGGAATCGTTCGCGGACGCCGTCTTTGCGTACATCTATGGCAAGGTCCTGCAAAAGATCTCTGATGCCGCAAAGGCGGCGGGGCTCTTTGAGGCACACCTATACCCCGAAGCCTGTGGAGCTTTTGGAAAAGGTGATGAAGGGCAGGCCATCACAGCCCAGGATGCTACATGGGCCGACGATACTGCCTACCCGGTGGAAGCTGATACGCCGGGGCAGATGGTGGACAAACTGGCGACGTTGACTACCATCGTTCTGCAATCCTGCAGGACGTTTGGTCTGCGACCGAACCTCAAACGAGGTAAAACGGCCGTTGTCATGGCGATGGTTGGACGTGGCCTACAGCAAGCTCGAAAGCAGTTCAGTGGCTCCGAGCACCGCAAGCTGCAGCTGCCAGAGCTGGGCGAGGCTGTATTTATAGAGCCACAGTATGTCCACCTGGGTGGTGTCCTGGACATGCACTCGAACATGCGCGCAGAGAAAAGAAGACGGCTGGCCCTGGCAACCTCAGCCTACGATGCCGGCCGCAAGCTCCTCTACCAGAACAGGAGTATTGACCTGCAAGTGAGGGCGAGGCTGTATGAGATCTCTGTGCAATCAACAATGCACAATCTTGCTGTATGGATCCCGGAAGGGAAAACATGGCAACAACTATGTGACGGATACTCTCGACTCATGCGGCGCCTGCTCACGCCAATGTTCCCTGGAGACAGCCTTTTCCGGGTACCCCTGGTGTTGGCCCACCTACTGACGGGAGGTTGGCGGCTGGAATTACACGCGAGGAGAAGCCGCCTCAGCCTTCTCAGCGCAATGGTACGAGATGGGCCGGCGGCCCTCTGGGCGATGCTCCAAGCGGAGCAGACGTGGCTTGCGGTGGTACGTCATGACCTACAGCTTCTGCACCAGTTCGATAACCAGTGGCCAGAAGCTACGGGAGAGGCGTGGCCTACATGGAGTTCCCTCATCCGGGCGGCGCCTAACCGGTTCAAACGGAGCGTCAAGGCGATGCTGGTGGAACAACACCGGAAGCAGACGGAGGATGAGAAGATCCGCGTGGGGCTATGGGGATTATACAAGCGAGCATGCCAATCCCTTCCCCGCCATGAGATTGAGGATGAGAAGGCCTGGCAGTGTCGGGGCTGCCGTCGTGGCTTCAAATCCCGTGGCGGGCTCGGAGCCCATTTCTTCAAAACCCACGCCAGAACTGCCATGTACCGCTCATGTGTTACAGGAACCACATGTGATGCATGCGGGAAGGCTTTCTGGACGCTTGGAAGGCTGTCCACGCACTTGAGCTCTTCACGAAAGTGCGTGAACTGGCTCAGAGCCAATGGTCATGTCGTGCCACTGGTTCTGCCTGGCCACGGAAGCCGAGAATGGCGACGACTCGAAATAGAGCAGTTCACGTGGGCTGCTAACACACAGCCCCAGCGGGAGCCGCCAGTTGACGAGATGGACTGGACCTGGTGCCAGCAGACACAAGATGCCTACAGGGCATTATGCGAGCGCCTAACAGGCCAGAGGCATTGGCGGAATGAGCAGACGGTGCAGACGGAGATCTACCAGATCTTGGCTGGCTATCCGCTGTACCGCGAAGAGGAGGCCCAAATCTTCGAGAGGACTGCGGGGGACATCAGAGACCTACAAGAAGACGACCCGGAAGATCCATGGGACAGCGCGTCCTACAGTGTCCTCCTAGCAGTCTTGGAGAATGGCCCCACCGACGTGGCAGTAACGGATGGCGCTGCCACGCGCAGCGATCCGATGTGCCACACCTTCAAGGAGTTTGAGGCAATGGTCTCCAACTTCGACTGGGACAAGTTCGCACCCGGCCCCGAGCAAGACAGCGTGACCCCTGAAGGAGTTCTGATCCGCCTGGAGGAAGGTTGGGAAGCTGTGAAACCTTCCTGTAGTGGGACTCTAGATGCCGCAGCCGCGGTCACGAGGGCCGAAGGTTTTGTACCCCAAAAGATCAGGGATGCGTGGTCTGCCATGTTGTGTGGCGAGAAGATCACAGTACAGGCCCCTGCTACATTTTGGGCTAGCCCACTTTCAAGGCCTTTCATGTCCTTGAGGGCTCCGATGCATTTAATTTGACGCTGCGTACTCCACTGAATGCCAGGAAATGAAATATCCCAAACCCTAAACCCTACACCCCTAAACCCTACACCCTAAACCCTATATATATATATGTATATATACATATATGTATATTATAGATAAGAGTCTTGGGTCATTCGGGATAAGAGATCACATCCGTCAACTCTAAAGTGGTTTAGGGTTTAGGGGTTTAGGTATATTAATCAGCGATACTATTCCTAAAAGTTCCTCATTCCTTAGAGAGTTCCTTATTCCTTAGAGTTCCGTGCTCCTTGGAGTTCCTGATTCCTTAGAGTTCCGTGTTCCTTAGAGTTCCTGATTCCTTAGAGTTCCGTGTTCCTTAGAGTTCCTGATTCCTTAGAGTTCCGTGTTCCTTAAGAGTTCCTTATTCCTTAGAGTTCCGTGTTCCTTAAGAGTTCCTTATTCCTTAGAGTTCCTTGTCATAGAAGACTATAGCACGCAACCCAATTCTGTTGATGACGGTCCCTACACGCTAAGCCCTGCGAAACCTGTGTTGTCGGACGCCAAACTACGTTGGAGCAAGAAACTCGTGAAAAAGATTGCTTGTTTTTTGCTTCTAACCTTTTAAAACTAATATACCCCTTACTGAAACCCCTTCAGAACCCTAAACCCGAAACCCTAAACTCTAAATCTCAGACCCTGAACCCTAAACCCGAAAGAGCGCCAGAACAAGGCGCCTGCCGGTCGCAAAGTCCTGGGCAAGGTCAACTTGCAGTCCAGCGACTCGGGCAGCTTAACTTTGGGGTTAGGGGTTTAGGGGTTTAGGGGTTTAGGGGTTTAGGGGTTTAGGGTTTAGGGTTTAGGGGTTTAGGGTTTAGGGTTTAGGGTTGGGTATAGGGAGGTCACTTCAAGTGCGTAAGTTTCTTCCCACAGTCCAAGTTTGAGGGCGGAATCATGTCCCTGTCGTCCCTACATGTTTATCATGCTACAATATACACAAGTCGAATCATTGAAGGCGCCTATATATTATTCTGGGTTCTGGAGTACCATGCTTGAATACGTTTTTGGGGGCCTGCTCCTTAAGGGAGCCATTATGAAATTAAAGTCTATACTTGTTTCTTCCTGGTTACTTCAAAGTCTAGGGGACTACCGAGCCACTCGAAGCACTTGTTCGATCATCTGCGGCTTCTATGTGCCGTCGAGGTTACCGACACATGAGCTGTTCGTTGGGTTTTGTGATTGAATAATGAACCTCAAACCCTCAAGTCACTCATAGTAGTTCTAACACCAACAGCTCTGAACCCCAAGCCCCAGACCCGAAACTAAAAGCTCCAAATCCTAAACTTAAACCCTAATCCCTAAACCCTAAACCCTAAGCCCCTAAACCCCAAGCCCTAAACTCCATAGCACCGTGATCCTCAGAAGACATTGGGTGGATCGGCGGCAAGTTCACGGGCGACAACAAGCCCGCCAAGGCGAATGTCACTTGATGGCAATGGGATGATGCGTAGGGTCTGGAGTTTAGGGGGTGTAGGTTTCGGCTTTGCGGGATCTGCATGGCAGTGCAGCATCTTTAGATTTGTATGGAGGTTGTGCAGATGCCGATGTTACGTTTTAGTTACAAGGCTTCCTGCTACTGGGGTTCCGCAATCACATCGTGTGATGCTCCTCGGTAGTTACCGTAATGCACAACCCAGTGCCTCGACTGGAGCACCGGCGAAATTGAGGGTTAGGGGTTGAGAGTTTCGGTTTAGGGTCCCTCGCTGAAATTGCCCTGCAGGGTTTAGATCTTCATGTTTGCGCGACTGAAACAAAGAGGCTTTCGAAATTAAATCTCCCTGACGCTTATGCTGTTGCAAAATAGAGAATGTGCAGAAATCGATGTGATCGACAACATGAAGCGGCCGAGCTAACGAGTTTCGGCATCGTTGTTCGTGCGTGTCCAAAGTCAGCTTTGTTTGTTATCTCCGGGGTCGGAATCTGAATCAGTAGTAAGAGACTCCCCTCAAGTTGTCTATGTAATTCCGCTTTGTCATATCTCCCAAAGCCTATTCTTGGTCATACCTCCCAAACCTAGTTTAAATTATTCAGGCCCCCGTATCGGCACTCTGGCAGGCTAGGAAAGGGGCAACAAGTCCGACATCAACACCTTCTTTCGCATCTGAAGCGTATACAACTTACTCGGACCGCACTCCCTGAAGATCTGAAGCCTAGAGTCGAGACTCAGGGTATAGAGGCTCTGTTCGCCAGAAGCGCTCGAAAGTGGAATTCCCGACAACACGACTGAGGTCGCTCCTTCTGTGATTTCTCTCCACCTCGGCGCTGAGGGCGGGGAAAGCGGTGCTGCCTGCTGGAAGAGGCGCGGTGGCGAGTTCTGCATCATGGCTTGCTTCCACAGAATCTTCAGGTAACGGCAGCATGTAGTGTTAACGAACACGAACAAACGAGCAAATACAAATACTAAGAGTAGCAACAATAACGGTAATGGGAGCATCATCAGTATGAGCAGTAACAGCTGTTGTTGTGGTTTTCGTGGCAGTGGTCGTCGTGGTGGTGGTGTTGGGCGGCGTTGGCGGCGGCAGCGGTAGTTTAAGTAGGGTATAATACGTAGTATTGCGTTTGTTTGGTTTTTTTTGCAGTGCAAACAAATGTAAGAATGGCAACAATAGCAATAACAATACTAGTGCTGATGCTAAATCGAATACCAATTTTGGTACTAATACTTATTATACTAATACTCTACCAGCACTAGTGCCAATACTACCCTCGAATGATACTTCAGCAACATCAAGAATCATCGTAGTAATGTTAGGAATAAAAAGTTTACTGTAGGGGCCCAAGTAATTACCAATACCAGTCTGGAGGTTCCTTCTTATATTTATAGTATAATGGACCCCGAAACCCTATTCTAATCAT